TACACGATGTTTCTAATAATATCCCAGTGCGTCCATAATAATCAATTAAATTGTTGGTTTGAAATTCTACACCATTATCAGCTCTTATCCGTTTGACCTTTTGCTCAAATTGAGTATAAATCATGTTGCAAAATTGAATTAACAACTGAGATACTTCAGATTTATTCTTCATTAAATAAACCCACACACCTCGAGTGAAATCATCAACAATAGATAAGAAGTACCGTGCACCGGAGATTGAATCGCACCGATAAGGTCCCCAAATATCGCAGTGTATCAATTCAAAGCAACGAGTTGTCTTAATGGCACTTGTAGGGAAGGGTACTCTAGTTTGCTTAGCTCGGACGCAAGGATCACAAAAATCATTAGTTCGTTGAAATCCTTTGAGTGAACTAATGTGATGTATCTTTCCGTCGGAAGCGTGACCCAAACGTTGATGCCATAAATCAGAGGTAATGGAAACTGACATTGCCACCCCCTCACTCCTCGAGCACTCCAGATAATAAAGACCATCACGGAACTTACCACCACCAATCAGCTTTCTCGAGGATAAGTCCTGAAAAATACAAAAATCGGAGAAAAAAATCAATGCACAATTTAGATCGCTAGTTAGACGACTAGCTGAAAGTAGGTTGCATTGAAATTTTGGGATGTATAGGACACGTTCAAGACGGAGCCCATTGGGGAAGTATAAACTTCCGACAGCAAGAACTGGAACTGATTCTCCGTTAGGAATTTTAACTGAGGATTTTGGCACAGGACTAACAATATTAAAAAGATTGACGTCACTACAAGTGATATGCTCAGTAGCTCCGGAATCAATTATCCAAGGATGAGCATGTGGAAATTTGTATGCCATATCTACATTAGCACTACAAGAGAAAAATTAGGAGAACAAAAAAACTAGATTTTTTGTTTCCAGGATTTCAGCTCTGATACCATGATAAAATTGATATGAAATAAACTGATAAAGTTCATAATGTGTAATTAGAGAAGAAAGTGGAAGAAATACTACACTGAACATTGAGGGTGCGTGCATGCCTACTTATATTACAAGAATAGTGATAATGTGTGATAGGAAAGAGAGAGATACATGCATGTATGGCCCATGCAATATACATGCATATGTGTTCACGCATGAGTGTACTACAGTGAGGTTACAACACATGTGGTCTAATAATAATATAGAGTTTGTGATAATATTTCAATATTCTTTCTTTTTGAATTACAAATTTACTAAGAACCTAATTAACCACATTTTTTCAATAGAGCTAGTTTGTAAAGAAACTTCAAATTAGAAAATTCAAAAATACAAATATTTGTGAAAATTACAAATAAAACCAAATAGCTAGTACCATCAATGTATTATTCTGCTATAATGGGTTAATTGGTTATTGAAAACCATTGATAAGAATAACATAATTGATGTTATTCTTATTAACACAATATTTTTGAGTGAACTTCAAATTGGTTAATTACAACAATTGAAACATAATTGGTCAACTAATCAAAGACGGAAAGAGGAATTGCAACAATTGAAAAATATTTGGTTATTATTTTAACACAATTCTAAGTCCTTAATTAACCCTTGAGAGCTAAGCACTTAAGCTAGCGAAACTAGGAAAGTACGTACCGTCTCTCAAGTCTAGCTAGGGAGAGGGTTAGAGGAAGCTAAGGAATTATGATGTTTTTACTTTGGACTAAAATTTTTGGTGTGGTCTGATAATGTCCGGTCTTTGTGTATTTCGTAATTGTCAAGTCTGGTCTGGTTTGATCTGATTGGTCTGGTCTGATCTGATTTGGTCTTATCTGATTTGATTCTTATTGTTTAAGAATGGAAGGCTAAGAAGTGAGTAAGCTTGAATGACTGAGTGCATTTAGAAGGTAATGCAAGGTATAAATTTTCTTCTCTAGTTCTCTCTGCTCGACGCTCGTTTTGTTTGGCAGCTTTGTTTTCCAAATGATTAAAATTAATATTACTCATACAAGGTAAAAAAAATCCCCCCCTCCCCCCAGAAATGAGGCCCTGGGCAATTTCCTGGCCTTACTCCCCTCTTAATTAGTTGGCTCTGAACATGATGTACTTTGTTGATTAAGGAAAATACATTTTTCATGATACAATTTGGGATAATATCGATATATTAAAAGTGTGAACTGGTCCCTCCTTGTTAGACATCATTTTGGTACGATTTTTTTTTTTGAACGGAAAATTTTGGTACGAAAAATGGCAACTCATTTTATACTATCTCCTCTTATGGTGAGAAGTAATGACGTATTATTAATGATCAAAGGAAGTATTTATAGTACAAGAGTCCTGAGCTAGGGAAACTATACAAAGCTATACAACCAGGCCAGGCCCAATACATACAATACATAATAATAATAATAATATATTAGGTCGTAATACGCCCCCGCAAGATGGAGGTTCCATTGGAAACTCCAAGCTTGGATCGAAAATGCTCAAACAAGGACTGTCCCAGCGGCATGGTTAGTGCATCTGCAATTTGTAACTTGGTGGAGATGTGTGAAACTCTTAATTGACCACGTTGAATAAGCTCCCGAACAAAGAAAAAATCCAATGCAAGATGTTTCATCCGAGAGTGAAAGACAGGATTAACACAAACATAGGTAGCACCTTGATTATCACAATATAGTACAGCTGTACAGGTGCAAAAGGCAAGTGAATCCCCAACTCGTGTAACACATTTTTGACCCATAAAATTTCGGCACTGGCATTGGCTACAGCTCGGTACTCTGCTTCTGTAGATGAACGAGAAACACTCTTTTGTTTGGCGGACTTCCAAGAAATAATATTAGGACCAAGATAGAGAACATAGGCCGTAGTAGACCTCCCATCATCAGTTGTACCACCCCAGTCCGAATCAGAAAAGGCGGTAAGCTGTAGACCCTGAGATTTATGTAGATACAAGCCATAATTCAACGTACCTTTGAGATATCGAAAAATACGTTTGATAGCCTTCCAATGCTCAATGGAAGGGAAATGCATGTACTGCGAAAGACGATTTACGGCGAATGATATATCAGGTCGAGTGAAAGACAGGTACTGCAGCTGGCCAAGTGCACGTCGGTAAGTGGTGACCTCGGCAAAGGCTGCTGCCGAAAGAACATGACTTGCACTCATGGGCGTGACCGCCGGTTTGATGCCTAGCATGCCGTGACTCTCAAGAATATGGAGAATATATTGTCGCTGAGATAAGAGCATACCAGTAGAGGTAGGAATAACCTCAATACCAAGAAAGTGATGAAGAGAACCCAAGTCTTTTACAGAAAACGCCTTGGTGAGTTGAGAAATAAACTGAGTAAGCACAGAGTTAGAACTACCCGTCAGTACAATATCATCCACATATACCAGAAAATATATAAAAACACCCGCATGATTATAAATAAATAGAGAGTGATCCGTTTGGGAACGCCGAAAACCCATGCGAAGCAAAAATCGGGATAATGCCAAGTACCAGGCACGGGGGGCCTTCTTGAGTCCATACAAGGCCTTCTTAAGACGGCACAGGTGGTTAGGATGACGAGGATCTTCAAAACCAGGTGGCTGCACCATATATACCTCCTCCTCTAAGGTGCCATGCAAGAAAGCATTATTAACATCTAGTTGTCTGATTGGTCAGGCCCGAGACAAAGCAATCGTAAGAACAATACGTAAAGTTGCTGGCTTGAATACAGGACTGAATGTCTCAGAATAGTCACGACCAGGCTGCTGGAGAAAACCACGGGCAACTAGACGAGCCTTGAAGCGAGCTATACTCCCATCAGAGTTGCGCTTCACCCGAAAAATCCAATGACAGGTAATCGGAGTATGATGAGCAGGAGGAACCAAATCCCACGTATGATTACGTAGTAAGGCTTGATATTCTTCATTCATAGCTTTCTTCCATCGGGAATCCTGCAAAGCAATCTTCAAAGAGGATGGTTCAAGTGTAGGGGAAATGGGATGCACATGAGTATTATTCACAAAAACACCACTATAATATCTGGGATTGGGTTTGCGTTGGCGTACTGGGCGAGAAGAGGTGGCTGGGTCTGGAGTAAGGGTTGGCGAGGGGGGAGTTGGATTTGGTGTAGCAGTAGGTGTTGTAGGTTGAGGAATGGCAGTGTGAGGAGCTGCAGTTTCGGTGGGTTTACTGGTGGCCATAGGAAAGAAAAACGGAGGAGGTGTTGTGCGAGGGAATGGCAGCATTGGAGGTCCACTATGCTCGACAGGTGACGGGACAGGCGAGAGAAACGGGAAGACGCTAGGAACAAACCAGACATGACGGGAGACATAGACACGACCCGAGTGATGATCCAGACAGTAAAAGGCAGACTGGGTGAGAGAATAACCAAGAAAGACACACAGAACAGATCGAGGTTGTAGTTTAGTAGTTGAATAGGGCCGAAGCCAGGGATAACACAGGCAACCAAAAGGCTGAAGTTTGGAGAGATTGGGCGTTTGGTTATGTAATTTGGAATATGGAGAGGCTCCATGCAGAGTAGGAGTAGGCATTCTATTGATAAGATAGACTGCAGTAAGGAACGTATAAGACCAATACTAAGTAGGTATCCCAGCATGATGCATTAATGCCAGACCAGTTTCAACAATATGACGATGTTTGCGCTCAGCTAATCCATTATGCTCAGGTGTGTGAGGAGGTGTGGTAAAGTGAGAGATGCCATGGTTGTTGAGGTAAGGACGTAATTTAATAAATTCACCGCCGTTGTCTGAAAAAAAATTAATTATTGGTGAATTAAAATATTTTTCAACAAGACGATGAAATTGAGGAAAAATTGTGGCAACATCAGATTTTCTCTTTAAAGGATATAGCCAGATATAACGAGTAAAATAATCCACAAAGGTAACATAATAAGAATAACCATCAATGGAAGGAACACTGGAACTCCATACATCAGAATAAATTAATTCTAACGGTTTGGAAGCAACCATCGTATTATTAAAGAACGGAAGTTTATGACTTTTGCTAATAGAACAAGGCATACAATGAAAACTAGGAGAAAACTTAGTGTTTGAATTAGAAGATAATGACTGCATGACACGACGCGAAGGATGACCAAGTGTGTGATGCCAGGTGGATTGAGTGACGTTGACATTAGCGGAAGTGGAGACTAGTGCATAGTAGACATCATGCTGATTCACCCCTCGCAGAAGTGGCGCCCCCGTGATGCGATCCTTCACAATAAAATAAGTAGGAAAAAATTCAACAGAAACAGGATTAGTTTTGCAAAGCTTGGCTACAGAGATAAGGTTCTTTTGTAGTTTGGGGACACATAAAACATTGGATAAAGATAGGTTACGGGTAGGGGTAGATAAAATAGTGGTACCTTTATGAGTAATATTAAGTGACTTACCATCCCCTAACTTAACCTCCTCGGGTCCTCCATACTCCAAATAAGTAGGCAATTGAGACACATCTGACGTGATATGATGAGAGGCACCGCTGTCAAATAGCCATGGTTGATGCTGCATGGAAGGAGGAGCAGAGACATAGTTGGCGTGCGGACCCGGCTGTGGGATGACATTGTGGTTCCGAAGAAAACGCTAAAGTTTGCGGCAGTTTTTAACGTCATGTCCGATGTTGTCACAAAAATGGCATTGGAGCTGCCGATAAGATCCACGGCCTCCTCCAGGAGCGTACGAACCACGGCCACGACAACACTGACCAGAAAAACCACCACGGCGGACGCCCTGATTTTCGCCGTCTCGCTGGCCAGGCAAGTCGCGGTTTCCTCGCTGTCCGGAGGTGTAGTTCGCCGTAGGAAGCAGTGGCGGGGAAGTTGAGTTCACAGCGGCCTGCTTGGCTTCGTGCTCAAGGAGGATGTCCTGAAGGGTAGTGAGTGGAAGAGGGGTCTCCCGAACCCGAACGGCAGCAAAAATATCAGAATATTCCTGGCCAAGTCCATTGAGAATTCCAATTACAAGATCTTCTTCGGGCATAGGGTTTTGAGAGAGCGCCAAAGCGTCAGCAAGTCCTTGCATCTCGGCTAGATATTCAGTGATGGATTTTGTGCCTTTAACGGTTTTAGCAAAGGTAGACTTGAGCGACATGATTCTACCACGAGATAAACCGGCATAGATTTGAGAGAGGCGATCCCATGCCTCCTTAGCCGTGCTGGCCGAAGAGATAATAGGCTGGATGTTGTCGGAGCAACTGCCTAGAAGAGCACTGAGAATAGTTTTGTCCTGACGGTACCAAGTTTGATATACCGGATTCAGAGTGGATTTGTCCGCACCAAGGTGACGAGCTGGTGGTGTAAGGGTGCCATCAACATATTCTTCCAGGCCAAGTCCAATGAGAGCAGCGAAAACCTGGGATTTCCAAACAGGGTAATTGGAGGAGGTGAGTTTGATGGGAAAGTGCGTAGAGGCCGTGATAGAGACCACGGTGGAATCGGCGTTGAGCACCATAGCGTGACAAAGATCGAAGATGCAACGGCACAGAACCCTAGGTGCGGCTGCCGTATACGGTCGAAGGAGTATACCAAAAAAAAATTAATGAGATGTTTTAGCTCTTTTGGAGTGTGGCTCTTGATACCATCTTATGGTGAGAAGTAATGACGTATTATTAATGATCAAAGGAAGTATTTATAGTACAAGAGTCCTGAGCTAGGGAAACTATACAAAGCTGTACAACCAGGCCAGGCCCAATACATACAATACATAATAATAATATATTAGGTCGTAATATCTCCAACCCACTAACATTGGAATAAGTTAAGAATGATTTACTGTTATTTTAATATTTTACATGCTTTTTGTATCTACTTTGGAAAATTTCCCTAAAACAATCCAATTGTGTAGTTAACGTAATTGAGAAATTATCAATCACGCTATACTTTTAATAATGGAGAATACGCAATATTTATTAAGGAAGACAATTTTGGAAGATGACAATGCGTGCAATGCGTGGAAGAATTACAAGGTGTGGTTAGACTTTAGAGACAGTAATCAAGTTTCTTTAAAGTTGTACAGTTGCAACTTCCAACTAATTATCCATCGAGAAATTGTACCTTTAAGTCCAATGTAATAAATATCGTAAATGGGAAATGGTTTTTCTAGTACTATCGTATTAATTTTTATCTTTTTAATTAAGTTATTTGTTGCTCATAAACTTGATTTTACTTGAATAATAACTTTTTTTGTTTGGTCAGCCGACGCTTAGCTAATAATAATGATATGTTTTTTAATTTATTATAGTGTTTTGTTCTATATTTTGGAGTTGGAGTTGGCATTATAATCTCTTCCTTCGGAGTGTTAGAATGTTTTCTTTTGGACTGAAATTTGATGGTCTGGTCTGGTCTGGTCTGGTCTGTTTAAGTCTGCTCTGGTCTGGTCTGATCTGAACTGGTCTGGTAAACGTCTGGTCTCTGTGTATTTTATAACTATCCAAGTCTGATCTGGTCTGTTTAAGTCTGGTCTGTTCTGGTCTGTTTAAGTCTGGTCTGGTCTGATCTGGTCTGGGACTGAAAAGAGTCCAAAAGAAAACATCCTTAATTAAATTACCAAATACAAAAATATATAATGTTGCACTTTGATACCTTGACTTTGAAATGAAATAAATTAATACCATAACTATATACTATCGTATATATAAATATTTCAAATAGCAATACAATTCAATTTTCGGATCAAAAGATCCTAGGTGGCAACAAGAACTCTATTTGTACAGTCCATGATACATTACTTATATTCATGCCACCAATGTACGGTGGACTGTAGATATGGAATTTTCGTCACCTCGTCAGACGTTTTGACTGAGAATTTGAATAGTATTGCAGTTCAATTGAAACATTTACGTATACTAATATACTCCGTATATAGTTATGATAGTGGTTTCTTTGATTTAAGAGTACAAAAACGCAACAAAATCAACAATCAATGCATAATTTATGCATTTAGCATATTGTACCACAAGATTCAATATAACAAGGTTCATCAGTAATATAATTACCAAGTATATATGAAAACACACTATATACGCTCCAATGTGAGGAGAACCCAGAAACTAACAAAAGTCTGAAGAAAAAACATCAAGAAATCATAGCCACACGATTTGAAGGAATACTATCTATAACGTCAAGACCAAGATCTGTGAACGTAAGAACCCCTCCATCATTGCACCTTGATAGCAGCCTGGCAGCCTCTTCTTTGGTCAACAATATTTTTACTTTGACTCCTCCAGAGTTCTTCTTCTTGATTGATTCTTCCTCACTTTCTTCTCCTCCTTGTTGACCCAAGTCAAACCTCACTTTCTTCTTGATCTTATTGTGAGATGGTGGCTTCTTTGTGGTGTCTAGACCCTCTCTATAAACATGTACTGTGGTTTGTACAGCTTTGGGTTTTCTTGCTTTATCACACTCTTGTGGGCTTGTTTTCCTGAGGAAAGGATTGAGACTTCTCATCAACATGGTTTAATTTCTTCCTTTTTTGGTTGAACTGTGATAACCTATGGGTTCTACACTTAGCTTCTACAGAGATATGGAATTGAAGTGGTGAATATATATAGTTGGAGGAAGCTAAGCTAAGTGTGTAGTTTGAAGAATATTGGGAAAACACGGTGTGTTTATATATTGAAGGCAATCGTTGAATTGCTTGGTGGTTTCGTGTGGTAGCTAGGAAACTTCAATGCAAAAAAAAACTAGGAGTGTGGGACTTTAATTATTTTGTACTATTATAGGAGTGTTCATACTTAATAGAGAGTGATATCTAACGAACTTTTGTTTCCTACTCATCAACATAAAGTAATATTCAAATGCGCGCAAGTAAAACATTAATTGAATTGTAACTTATAACTCAACACATAAACCCTAGCCTGTTTACGTAAGGGGCATGTGGCTTTTTACTTAAATATGACTAAATTGAAGTTGAATTAAAAAAGTAACTACTTTTATACAATAAAGGTAAAGGAAACAAAATTAAATTAGTCTAATTTAAATTTTTACTATGAGGTGTTTGGTTAGCATCTATTAGCTAATAATCTTTGGTTGATTTGATTTTTTTTTGGCCTTCCGACGAGCTCAATCAGTTTTTTGGGGTGTTTGATCAATGACTTTCTCACTTCCGAGCAATAACCAATTAACGCATTCTTGTGGATGCAGGGAGGAACATGAGATGCCCTCGATGAGTTAGTAGGTGCCTTTGACGAGAATAGCTCACGGATCTTAATTGATTTGGTTTTAATTGTATGAGGATCAAAAGAAAGTAATCAGGGATCCTATTTTGGGAATAATGAATTTATAATCCTACTTTGGAATTTTAACTATGGTTTATTCCTATTTAGGGAATAATAAGTTTATAGTCCTAATTATAGTCTAATTCACTCATTACTTACATGAAGTTTATTATATACTCTGTATTTGACATATATATCAAATTTATAGCTGTACTAGTGTCATTTATCTAAACTATATATGAAACACTCAACTTGGGTATTATTAAAAACATTTCACCTGCTTAATTATTCTGTATATAGTTAAGTTTCGACCCCTTGGGTCATTTTTCTGATTGTGCCAAAGCTTACTCCCCCAAGATTCATTACGCCAATTTCATTTTAAAGTTTTCTATTTCGACATATATTTGGAGATGGCGTTAGTCAAGCTTCGTCCTAAGTATAATTCTAAGAAACGTCAAAAGCGATTGCGCCCAGCTCTTGCGATCGTCAAGGCCGGTTTTGGTTTATGCATCATGACCTCAAGGTCTTAAACGCTTAGAATTGAAGGTGTTTACTTCGCTGCTAAAGTCACACTTAGGTTAGTAAGACATGTGAAGTAAAGACACAAGCTGCTTAAGAAGCTGATTACTAACCGAAAAAAGTTCTTAAAGTGCCGCTTACTAAGCATACCATCCTCATGTATTAATTAAGCGACACTTTAATCTTTTTCAATTTCTGAATTTACCCTTACCCTTACCCCTTGCCCTTACCTATTGTTACCCCTCTACCCACCCCGTCCCCACCCAACCATAACCCCTTCACCCCTACCACATGCCCCTACCTCGGTCCCACCCCACCCCGACCCTTAACCCCTTACCCTACCCTTTTACCCCCTACCATCTTCCCCCACCTTGACCCCACCCCGACTCATCCTACCTACCTTACCTCGACCATACCCCTTACCCCACTGATACCCCTTCCTTACTCCCTTACCCCCTACCACATGCCCCTACCTCGACCCTACCCCACCCTCCCCCACCCCTAGCTCTAACCACCCTACCCCGACCATAACCCTTACCCCCACCCCCACCCCTTACCCTACCACTTTAACTCATACCACCACTTGCCCTGACCTCAACCCGACCCCACTGAGGGTGTTGGGGAGTAGGGGTAGAGGGTAAGGTCGTGATAAGGGTAGGGGTAGGGGTAGGGATCAAGGGTGTGGAATTGGGGGTAGGGTGTAGGGTAGAGGTAAAGGATGGGGTATAGGGCGGCTGGGTAGGGGTATGGGTACACGTACGAGGTGACCCCGCATATTATATTATATAATTGGCTTCATAAATATTTGTGTGTCTATATATGTATAAGGTTATTTTGGACAATTTTATGTTAAGCGGCATTTTAAATCCTTTGAAGTAACATGAGCTTACAACATTGCTTATTTTATGCACCGCTTATTAACGCGAGTCTTAATAAGCACCATTTTGTAACCCGTGAAGTAAATGTGTCCTTATTGTTTTATCCCTTTTATACGTTCGGGAGATTCTTGTGCTTGGAATTTCCTTTAAATATATTTTCCATTTTTGTTACAAAACTTTTCTTTAAATATTTCTACTTTAATTTCTTTGTAAGGGGTTAGTAAATACATTTACTTAGAATTCAATTTATTAATCATAATATCATCATACTAATTAAATTTAACAATTAATGAAAAAAATGTTAAAATAATTATTTCTAGTGTTAATATATTTTTATTTCAAAAAACAGTTTAAGTAGTTGTACTAACAATATTAAGAAAAATAATTGATTTCCTACAAAGTCACTTAACAAGTCACTTAACATCCATTTAATCAAACACCGCTTTGGAAACTACTAAGGGAGTGTTTGGAATGGATTCTACTTCTGCTTCTTCTCATTTTTAAAAAAGAAGCAGGTCAGAATCAGAATAAGTTTTTCAGAAGTTGGTTTCTTCCAACTTCTAAACAAATGCTTCTAGGAGTAATTTGAAGCTGCCAGAAGTACTTCTACACTTTCACTCAAACACTCTAATATTTGTTTTTGCTCCCAAAAGGAGCAGAAGTAGTTTTAAGAAGTAGATCCAAACACCCCCTAAATTTGTTCGCTAATGAAAACAGTCAATAGAATCTGCTATCATGAATCAACTAATAACATAATCAGCCAACAAGCGATTGCCGAACGCCTCTATGTCGTGCTAGTTATTTTGTAATTATCTAACGTGCTAATACACTACCTCCAGTACTGCTCCACAAGTTGATTTAGAATAATAGGTTCACTGTTTGTTTATAATTCTGCAAGCATGTTTTTTATTGGTGCATGTGCTTGCAATTTTGAAATTGATGATAATTGACTTTTTTCCTCTCATTTGAGAAATGTGATAATGTGATAGAAAATTGGTAAAAATAAGTGTGGGATGAGTGATGGAGGCATGAAGCCAAGGCTCAACATGTAAAAACTCTTTTTTTAACCTTTCACATTTTCCACATGGAAAGTAATGAAACTTATATACTCGGATAGGCGGGATAGCATGTACACAGGGACGGATTTAAAAGGGGCGCGGGGGCGACCGTCCCCCTTGGACTTTCAAATTTTTCTACTATATATGTAGTATTTTCATAAATTTTTCATACTTTAATTAGATATATGTTTTAGCCCCCTTGACTTTTAGTTTTCAAAGTTAATATACAGTTTTACATAGTGTAATACTTAATTGGAGATTTAGAATAAGTAAGATCTAAAATAATTTAGATAGTTTAAGACTTAGGGTACCCATTATATAAAAATTCCTAGGTTTTGTAATATTTGATTATCTTTATAGATAATTAGTTTTAAATTTTGTAAAAGAAAAAACGGTATTAAATAGTAAATACTAGACACACCAGTTAAACAGTTTTAGATCATGAGAAGTGAATCCAAAATATAAATGTTTGTTGACATTAAATTATACAATTCATTTACTTCTTACTTTCTAAAAGCAATTTATTGTATAAATAATAAACTTTAACGTATTTTAGCATTAATACAAATATAATATGTACCATATATATTAACAATACTACATATGGGTAGGGTTCAAGTGAGAACAACCTCTAGGGAGAGAAATAAGAACATCATCTAGCCACTAATAACATCAATCGTGCGGCTCAGATTAAAAGACAAAAATTAAAAAATAAAACTGCACTCTCACGCTCCTTGGCAAATTAATAACGGGAGAAAGCATGCGCAAGATATAGTAAAGGTCATTTTCGTAAAAGCACAATATGGCGGTTGGGAAGCACAAAAAATTAAATCTCCACAACACCGATTATCGTGCGCGCGTCTTTCAAAACAACCTACTCCAGAGTTACTTCGATCGAGAGAAGCAAGTCGCATGCTCAAACCTCAGGCGTAAACGGATAGATCGATCGACGACGAAGAAACCCTAGATACCAGTGCGAATGGGGAAGACGAATGGAACTGGAGCGACATCAGCAACCGGTGATAGTGCAGATGAAGGTATTCTTCATCTATTTCAATATTATTTCGTAAGAGTGCAAAGTTTTCAAAATTGATGATGTGAATACTATGATTTGATGTTGAATCTCTTACATTTCGAATTTGCAAAATATAGCAAGTTTTTTTTCGCACTATTTAAACAAAACAGAGCACATTGAAAAGTAATTTTAAATCGAGTAAATTGAGGAAATCAAAAAGCATTATTAAGATTAGATCAGGTGCATGATGAAATTATATTACTGAAAACGATACCGATTAATTATTAGTGCATTATTAAAATGGTATAGTGAAACTGGTACGGATTGATAGGGCACTAATATGAAATGAGTATGTGCCAGTTTTTGAAATAAAGTAAGTGCACTTAACCTAAATACAATGTGCATCATCGTGTGAATTGTCAAGTAAGAGATTTAATAGCATTCCTACACCCATATAAGTGCATATTATGTCATGTGAAAGTGGCTTTCATTATACTGCTGATCATGCATCCCAAATGTTTCATAAATGCACTATAGGGAAAATAATGCATATTACATTATAACAGAGTGCATCACTTAGGAATTCATGTGCAAATGACTAGGTCATTAGACATGAGTCAATTGGGGAAGAAAAAAAAGGTATACACTGATTTTAGATTGCACATCTTAGAGCATATGAGCATATGTCAAGTTCATTAAGCCATGAGGTGTGAATGTTCAATATGTAACACTTTTTTGAAATAAAGTAAGTGCACTTAACCTAAATACAATGTGCATCATCGTGTGAATTGTCATGTAAGAGATTTAATAGCATTCCTACACTCATATAAGTGCATATTATGTCATGTGAAAGTGGCTTTCATTATACTGCTGATCATGCATCCCAAATGTTTCATAAATGCACTATAGGGAAAATAATGCATATTACATTATAACAGAGTGCATCACTTAGGAATTCATGTGCAAATGACTAGGTCATTAGACATGAGTCAATTGGGGAAGAAAAAAAAGGTATACACTGATTTTAGATTGCACATCTTAGAGCATATGAGCATATGTCAAGTTCATTAAGCCATGAGGTGTGAATGTTCAATATGTAACACTTTTTTGAAATAAAGTAAGTGCACTTAACCTAAATACAATGTGCATCATCGTGTGAATTGTCATGTAAGAGATTTAATAGCATTCCTACACTCATATAAGTGCATATTATGTCATGTGAAAGTGGCTTTCATTATACTGCTGATCATGCATCCCAAATGTTTCATAAATGCACTATAGGGAAAATAATGCATATTACATTATAACAGAGTGCATCACTTAGGAATTCATGTGCAAATGAGTATATCACTAATTAAACACTATTCAACTTGAAAAAAATCATACACTGATTAAGCCCTGATGTGTGAATGTTCAATATGTAACAGTTTTTTGAATGTAAGTACATGCAATAAACCTAAATACAATGTGCATCATTTTGTGAAATGTCCATTAACTGATTCATTGGCATTCCTACACTGATACAAGTGCATATTATGTCAAGTGAGAATGGTTTGCATTATCGTACTAATCATATGTGTATACATTTTATCTCAAACTCATGCATCTGATTTACAATAAATGAACGATACAAAAAAGAAAAACAACACACAATTTATTAGATACGAGTGCATCAATTTGGATAGATATGAAAAAGAGTACTCACTAAACATGAGGCAACTGTAAAAAAAAGTAATCATAATATGGCATTACTGTGCATTGTTTAGATTGCATGAGCATATGTTAATTTAATGAAGCCCTGAGGTGTGTAGGCTGTGTATGTAAAAGATTTTTGAATTTGAATAATTGCATTAAATCTTAATACAATGTGCATCATTTAGTGAAAAGTAAATTAAATAGTTCAACGACATCCCTACCCTGAAAGTGCATATTATCTTAGTTGTCATAAGAGTATACTTCTTCCAAAATTCATGCATTCCAATATACCATAAATGCAATACAGAGAAAAACATTGCACAATGTATTACATCAGAGTGCAACACTTAAGAAATAATGTGCAAAATAGTAGGTCACTAAACATGAGTTAACTCAAGGAAAAAAACATCCCCTGATATTAGAGTGCATTTTTTAGACCATATGAGAATATGTTAAGCACGGAGTTATGAAGATTGTGTATGTACCACTTTTTTAAATGTCAATAAGTGCATTAAATCTGAGGAAATTGATAACCGAAAGGTACACAAAGTGATTGAATGATACTTCTAACTTTTAGAAAGTGATTATTACGTTACGTAATAGTGCAATGAAATTAATTGTGCAGGCTCTGAGGGTGCAAATTTGGACAAAGGGAAAATGGAAGAAGTGACACTTGTTGTCAGAAAAAGGAGAATGTTACAAGATGCAAAACTAAAAAGGAGGGATAAGAGGCAGAAAGAACAAGTAGAAGAAGATGAGAGTGACGATGACTTTGAGATACGACCACTTCAAGAAGTTGCAGGTACTAGCCTAGTAGAGGATGGGGAAGGTGAAAAAGAAAAGGTAAGTATCAAAGAAAAAAAAGCAGGATTTAGAGCTTTAAGAACAAGGTCATCACCACACTTATTAGTTAAAGCACTAAACAAGATGACTGAACTTCAGAAGAAGGATATTAGAAAGATAGGTTTTGGTGCACTATTTGATTTGGACATTTCAGAAATTCCCGGAAGAATGGCTTTTTGGTTGGTGGATAACTTTGATGCTAAAAAATGTTCATTGGTGCTAGACAATGGCACAAATGTGCATATTACAGAACAAGATGTTGCTCGAGTTTTAGGTTTCCCATTGGGTGGTAAAAATATTGTTTTAAAGAAGAAAAGTGAAGAATGTGATTTGTTAAGCGAATGGAAGGCATTGTTTAATAAAGAAGAAACCAAAATCAGTCCCTCAGATATTTGTGCTCAAATGAGACTTAGGACAGAAGGTGGTGAGTGGTTCATCAGACATTTTGTTGTCCTTCTTGTGTCTGTTCTACTTGATAGCACCCCGAATGGGTATGCGAATCCATTAATAATGAACAATCTCCATGATGTTGAAAAAATAAAGGACTTGGATTGGTGTGATCATGTGTTGTCTCTTTTGGTTGAAGCTAAGTGGTCATGGCAGAAAAAGAAGGACAAAGCCTTCACTGGCCCATTGCTGTTTTTGATGGTAAGCTTGCACATTTTCTATGGTTTTTTTTAAAGTTTGTGGTTTATCTTATTTATAAGTGTATTAACAATAATTCCTTGCAGTTGTTTTATGTGGATAGAGTTGAGTTGTTCAGAAGAAAAGTGAAGAGGTCTTTACCAGTTATAAAGGGATGGAATGCGAAATTCCTAAGGGAGAGAGAAGTGCTTGAGATTGAAACTGGAGGATTTGGAATGGGATTTTGTGTTGGTCCAATGGATTTCGAACAATGTGTTGGTAATCTGCAGACTGAAGAGAAGGAAGCTGGAAATGGGTGCATACTGCATATAGAATCAACTGGTGAAGACAATTCTGAGGTAAGAAGATGAATAATTATATATGTTTTTTAGAAGTAGATGTAGGAGTATACAAGTGACTCAATACTTGATGTCATTATCAGGAATTCGTGAAGTAAAGTATAAATGTGCATGTGAGCCTTTAAGAATGTGTGCATTGGATCTAGCATTAAAAATGTCATGTAAATGTAATGATTGAGCATGAGGTTGTTTAATGTATGTGTGTGTGCATTAAATTGAACTATAACATGCATCATTTCTGGTGACCAACTGATAGTATATGCATTTCATTTTGGTTGAGTTATATATAGATGAATTTTTGCTTCATAAAAGTGCACATGCCTATCAAGTAGTATGAAAGTGCATAGCCAATGAATGAAAATTTAAGTGCAATGCAAGTCATAAAACTAACACAGATGAATCATTATAAACAGGAAAATGTGATGAGATTGACACAATTGTGCAAAGAAATAGCAGCCAATGTGATTGAAGTGATCAATATCTTTGAAAAAGAACCACAAAACTTAATGCATAATGAAAACTTCAAAAAGCTGCAAGAATCTGCAGAACAGATAATTGGCCTGGGAAAGAGGAAACAAACTGTGGATGTTAGGGAAGAAGAAGATCGAAGAAACAATGAGCAGAGAGAAGATGATGAATATTGGAGCAATCCTGAGACCATTGCAGCTATTGAGAGGGTAATAAATGCAATGGCTAAAAAGGCATTTTCTGAAAAAGGCATTGAAGACATTCCCTCATTCTCAATTGGGCTTACACCAGATGAAGCAACACAATGGGGCCCCATATCTGAGGTATGTGCACAATTTGAAAATGAATACTTTCAAAAGCAAAGCTTTGCTAGTGTGGAGAAGAACAATGTGGAAGGAAGTGAAGAACCACAGGGCGACAAAGAGGTATGCTATCATTATAACACACAATAAATGTAATACATAAAATGAATTTTAACATTTTGATAATTTCATTGCAGATAGAAACTCAGGGTGAAGTCCCAGATAACATGATAGCTGAGAAGGAAGGAGCAAGTCTTCAGGAAACTAATAACATGATAACTGAGAAGGAAGGAGCAAGTCTTCAGGTAATTAAAATTTAACATCAATAAATATGTATATAAAGAACATATAAAAGCTGTGATTTATTTGAATAACAGGACCCGGAGAGGAACAATAGTAAGAAGAACAGTGAGTTGGCTTTAGGAAAAGGAAGGATGGATCTCAGGTCAAGAAGAAGAGGAAAAGAAGCTGAAGGTGTAAAATCTCAAAACATGGACAGGATAATAGAACCAAGTGACTGTTTAAATGCAACTGAAAAGCTAATCTACAGATGGGTCATGCAAAAAGATGCAAAGAAAAAGTAAGTATATAAAAAGAGCATCAATAAACTTTAACGTGATTTAAAGTTAGAATGAAATGAGTATTGTAATGTGTGCTGACATGCTTTAAAGTTAGAATGAAGTGAGTATTTTGTGGGAACTTTAATCTATGTTTTAATGTAGGGATGAGATCATTTTCAAGTTCAAAGATTTGACTATAATGCGTGCTGACATGCTTACACTGGGTGATAAAGAGCACATGTCCATGAAGGTACTTGATGCATGGACAGTATACTTGAATAGTAATGAGAAGTTACGAAGTAAAGACTCCCCATGTAGACTGTTTGCAAGATCATATCCTTGTGTAAGTGTTTAACCAATTACTTATTATAAGATAAATGCTTATCAAAATAGTTATTACTACGTATAACATATGCTTGTATAGACTGTTTGACAAAAAAATGATAATAAAATGTTTTGCAGCCATATACAATGGAGGATCCTATTGAAGATAGTGAGATGTACGGTGTTCTCAAACAGACACTAGATTTTGCACTGGAAGCATTGAAACCTGAAGTTAAACTGGAGGATGTGGATGTGGTAATTGAATTTTAAAATGTCACTATAGTAGTGAGAAAAAAAATATAATAATTAGTGCATCAACTTATGATATTAGTGCAAAATATAACTATAGCAGCTTTATGTGCAGTTTTTCTTTCCAGTTGTGCAACCTGAACACTTTTACATTATGTGCTTCAACATGCAAAATCAGCACGTCGAGATACTCGATAGCTCATCACTGCAAATTGATTTTGAGCACAAATATTCTGAGACGCCATTAGTATTGGTAAGTGTGAATATAATTACAATTATTACTTAATAAGTGTAGCGGTTATTCATCTGACCCAATTCCCACTTAACAAGTTTGAGCAATATGACATTGTATATTCGTTGTTACTGATTTTGCAAATAGAGAGACATGTTTGTGCAATTTCTTAGTGAGAGAGGACTGGACAATAACGGCAAGGTCTTTCGTGAACCATCAATAAACTGTCTACAAATGGCTTGGAGGGAACTGAAAAATGAGCACAACAACGGGCTATGGAGCATGAGACACATGGAAACATACAATGGTCAAGGAACAAAAGCGTTGGACTGTGGTATTAAAAAGGAAGATGCAAAGCTGTTGAATGCTTTAAGAAAGAAGTACTGTGCAACACTGGCCACAACAGAAGTCAACGAGATGAAGGAAAAAAACTTGAATGAAGTGAAGGAGTTTGGAAAAAAGAAGAAGTGAAGAAGTGATAAGTGATGTCAAGACACTTTTAAATAATTTCATGTACTTTTTGTTTTGGATTTGGTTTGGTGTTCAACACAACAATGACATTTAAATACTTGCTATTATATCTCTTGTTTTGGATTTGAAAATTTGGATTGGTTTGGTGTTTAACAGCAGAATAGCACTTATGTAGTTTTGCTTATATCTATTTTTAAAGCTAGTGTGCACTTCAATTGTGTAATGTATGGCTGAAATTGAAGTTAAGAGTGAAAAGAGTGAGCTACAATGTAACAAAAAAACATTTTTTGTTTCATCACAAAAGAAAATCCAATATGCAAGTAAATAAGATACTTTAGCCAACCATTTAGGAGTTATTAAATCACACTGCATCAACACTTAGGAGCAAATGTGCAAAAGTGTAGATCACAAAAATATGAGTATGACTGTAAAATAGAAGTCATACCATGACATTAGTGCAAATTGTTTAGAGCATATACGAATATGTTAATTTCATTAAGCCTGGAGGTTTGAAAGTTGTGAAAAATATTTGTTAATTTAAATAAGTGCATTAAATTTAAATAAAATGGAAATCATTTAGTCAAATGAAAATTAAATGAATCAGTAACATTGATACACTCATCAAATTGCATAAAATCTTACTCATTAATATAAGTACGCATTGTTTGTCAAAATCATGCATCATTAGTTATCATAAGTGTACTCTAAAGGAAAACAATGCACAAGGTAGTGTATAATAGTGCAGAGAAGCGAAAGTAAAAGTGAACAAGAGTAAGAATTAGAACTTTATCAGGAAAGATACTTTGAGAAATTATAAAAACCAATCAAAACGAATTGGGTAATGTATGATTCTTGTCCAACAGAAAGTAAACACTTGGGTACAAGCAAAACTTCACCACAATTCAGAAAAAAACAAACGAGTCATGAAACATTGAAACTCCAACACATTAGACAACTTGAATTTGGTTATTTCTAAGAATTTAGAGGACAATTTCTGCTGTCATGGAAAGCAAGCTCGTTACAAGTGCGGCATAGTCTTTTAGACTTCTTGGAAGCTTCAATTGACTTCTCTTTACCACCTTTTATTCTCTTCCCACAGCCCTTGTTCCTTGCAATCTCGGGTGGATGCACATTAACTTCACTCGGGATAGAAGAACCATAGAATGAGCTAATGATGTCGTTTTTTGTGCTACTAGATCCACTTGATGCCTCTAAGGACATAAAGTTGTCCTTTTGAAGTTTGATATGGTCTGCAAATTCTTTGAACAAATCTGGGTGATGCTCAACAAATCCCACACAGAAATAAATATCAGACCATAGATGTTTAACTTGATGTTTATCTTTTTCCATAGAAGCACATTGATCATCTAAAATGTCACCAACTTTTGACTTCGACCTAATTACAGAACTCTTACACCAGCGTGGTAACACAAATTGGGAGGGTAAGGTTTCAAACTTAAGGTCCTTCAGAACAACAAAAATATGGCGACACAGCAACCCAAACCTTTCAAAATGCTTACAGCTACATGATGCACTATCAGAAGAAACATTGTGCACTACATCAAAAACCAGACCCCGTTCATCAGATATGGAGTACTGAAGAACATCACCAACAGTTTCCACGCGCAAAACACGACAAGAAAAGCAAGCAGCAGAAATCTCCTGTTGCACTTCATAGAAAACAGACAGATTGTAGATTGAAGAACAAAATCTTTCGATACCTAAGGGAGTATTGTATACAGGAATGGATGACTCAGAAACTGAGTTCAGTTGAGCATAAATATGCCTCTGTGAGTCCATGGCACTATCAAACTGCATAAAGAATTCAACCAAACTAAAATGTGGATTGGTAAACTCATTAAAAAAATTATTCTCGCTCTCCGATCTTGATGTTGTCCTAAGCATTCCAGCCATAAATAAATCACGGAAATATGCAGGAATCCAAAACTTACGAATGTCAAACATGTGAGAGAACCACTTATGGCTTAACAAGTCATATTCCTCCATGACAGACATCCACTTCCTTTCAAAAGATTCAACTTGGAGATGGTTATTCCATACAACACTATTTATTTTTGTCAAAAATTCTGTATCCTGACTAAGAGTGGGACCAACCTTGGCAGTTAACTTGGACATGATATGCCACATGCAATAGCGATGACGGGAGACTGTGAAGACATTTTCAATAGCAGCGCGTATCGCTGGATCTTGGTCAGTTATGATGCACGTTGGTTCCTTAGTCATTGCACTAATAAAAGAACGAAAAATCCACTCATATGACTCAATGTCTTCCTTCGAGATCAGGCCAGCAGCGAAAGTGATGCACTTCTTATGGTTATCTACACCCGTAAAAGGGGCAAAAACCATATTGTACCTAATACAATAAATGAAATATAAAAATGCATCAGAAGATAATATTTGTGCACATAATAAAAACCAAGTGAGAAGATAATAAAAGCAGACATCAACTATCAATTTTTAAAACTTAAAAGCACACCATTTAAACAAATACTATACAAACACAAAAACGATGTAATAACATGTACCTATTGGTCTCAAAAGTCGCGTCAAAGGAGACCACATCACCAAATAGAGCATAATTCTTTCTACATACAGGATCAGCCCAAAAAATACGAGTCAATTGATCACTGGCATCAACATCATAAGCGAAGAAAAACTCAGAACAAGTCTCCCGCTTTCTAAAAAGTTTATCAACCAGCATTTGTGCATCAACACCAGAAACATAAGCCTTCAAATCACGCTTGAAGTTCTTAAAGTCAACAGCAGTTGCGCCAATATTGGAATACCCACCCACAGTTTCTTTATACAAACGATAACATTTCATTGTTCCAATATTAGCTTTGGAACAATTCAAAACAAAATTTTGATGGCCAGCATCAAGAGCTCGATTTACTTTTAGAAATGGGCGAGATGGGGTAGACGTCATGGGATGCTTATGCCGCTCTTCAAAACGGGTAACCAAATATCCATGTCCAGCATGTAACCTCATAACTAAACGTGCACGGCAACCAACACGATTTGATACACGACGTCTCTTATTCGAAGGAATGCCTTTTGGTTCTGAGCTTTTCACTTCCTCATTACAGCCAGCAACATTCTCAGAATTAGAAGAGCTAGATTCTGTATTCATGGATTCAGTTCCATCACCAACACAAGAGCTGGATTCAATATTGCTAGGTTTAGGCAGATTTTTGAATCCTTCTCTGTTACACAGAATATACTTCCACACACAAGCTCCATCACTACTCTTTCTAGAGGTACTTTTGCGGATATCAAAGCCACAAAGAGTAGCATACTGTTTGTAGAATTGAACTCCAGCAGCAACATTTGTGAAAATCATACCAACATGAGGCTTATAGCTCTCAGCACACTCAGGAGTCCAATATTTGGTAAAGTTTGGAGAAACTTCAGTTTTAGATGAATGACAAGAGTTTCGTGGAGAATTAGAATAACTGAACTCGTAAGTAGAATCTACAAATATATAAATAGCAAGTATCAATAAAATTCATAAATAGATAAAACCTTAGTGCATTCAAAATTGAAAAGTGTAAGAATAAGGTATATCAGTAGTTTATCAGGTAAAAAGTGCAGCAAACTGGGAAGAACAAAAATCAGGTTCGATTAATATAAAAAACTTCAGGAATGCAAAAACGCAACAACATATGTTGACATAACAACATTGAATCGGATTAAAAGCAAAACCTTCAAACAACACAACAACAATAGATTTGCAGCGAAATAGAAGAAATAGTTATATAAGAAAGTCTGATAAGGAAAACAAGGGTAACAAGTAGTAGGGTATCAATCGACATAAACTCAGCAATTATATAATATAAACGATTAAATTATGAAATTTATCAATTGAAAAACTCACTGTGATCCATAGCGAGAAGATGAAATTGTTAGCAAATTTGCTATTCGACGATGGCGGTTGTATTCAATGTCGGATATTCAGCGAAGATCGAGGACAAAATAATGATGAAATCTTCCAAGTAGAGAAGGCCACAGATATGGAAGAACGATCGAAGACGCAGAGTAAAATTGGAAACAAAAACGGTTATGGAAACTTTGATTCAGAGAACGATCGTAACTTGGAAGGAGAACAAGAGTAAATGACAGTAATGCCCCTAGACGATTAGCGAACTTAGGAGAAATAATATTTGAATCCAATGGCTCTAATTGATTCTTATTTCTCTCATGAGATCTTATTCTCATATGATCCAATCTCTACTACATATAATATTATTCTAAAGATAATATAATAATCTCATACATACTATTGTAATATTAAAAAAACTTCTCGTGACCCATGAACACCCTCCTTGGTAAACAAAAACTACAATTCAAAAACCATTTCTTTATTCCGATAAGATTCATGTGGTTAAACAAGACATAAGTTATTTCAAAGGCATTGATTGATGTTTAATTACCTTTTAAATTTTTTACTTTCAAATAATTCGACAAAATGTTATATATCCTTTTCTATTTTTTGAATAAAAATTAGCCGCAGAGCCCTACAATAGTGAAAAATTTTCGTCTCGCTATACTAGCGGAAAAAATTTGCCCCGCTACCTTAGCGAAAAAAATTTCTCCCCGCTACACTAGCGAATTTTTTTTGCCCCCTACACTAACAAAAAAATTTCGCCCCCCTTAAATTTAAATCCTGGATCCGTCCCTGCATGTACACTAACGCAACATTTTGTGACATCAAGATTTTATACAACACTCGAGGAAACATTCATGGGGCCGTTTTACACAGACATAGTGAACTAATCTAATGGTGAGATTAAAACTGTGTAACAAGAAAGGAAGCTGGAGGAGCTCTTCAGCTCTAACATATTTTACCTTATTAATACATTTGGAATGGTTTGATCTATGCACATATGGCATCTATGATTTTATCTGT